GGCGTACAGGGAAGATTACTTTTATGGTTAAAATCCTATCTTACGAACATGATCTCTAAAGTCTATATACAAGGCGAGTTTTCCGATGGCATCCCAATACAAACGGGTGTCCCACAAGGCTCCATACTAAGCCCAACCCTTTTTGCTGCATTCTTAGCAGATTTGCCTAACACCCATCCTGTTCACCTCTCGGCGTACGCCGACGACTTAACACTGTATTATTCAGACAACGCCTTACCTAATACAGTCTCAACAATGCAAACAGCACTTGATCACCTCCTAGATTGGACACAACAATGGGGCCTTCAAGTTAGGTCTACCAAAACCTATTATCAAATTTTCACTAAAAAAAGACTTTCATCTACCCACCCTCACAATACACAACACTCCCATCCAACACGTACGAGAACAAATACCTTGGCATGCACTTAGACTCGCCCTCACTTACCTGGAAAGCACACATTCAACACCTTAAACAGACGACACAACCCCGACTCGCCATACTGAAAGCCCTCACTGGCACCACCTGGGGAGCACACCATAAAATCCTGCTCCGTTTCTATACAACCTACATTCGCAGCCAACTAGACTATTGTTGCCAAGCATATGCGTCGGCTGCGCCTACTAACCTACAGAGCCTAGAGGTCATCCAAAACAATGCCATGCGACTTATGTGGTGCAATGCGTTCCACTCCTATCCTTGGACTTTACGGGGAAACGGGCCTCACAAGCCTAGCCACCAGACTAGACTGTGTGCCAACTATCTGTCACTCTGTACCACTGCTCACCAGACACACCCATACAGATAAAAAATTAATCCAACAGTTAACCCACATAATCCCCGCTTCCCAACCAATCACTCACAACCTTTCCTCACACGGGCTACAAATAACCTCAATATAGACCTCTCTCTACTCTAAAACTCGGAAACTCAACTTACTGTTCCCCCTATTCCACCCTGGTTTAATACAACTAATACAGCAATACAACTCGAAGACAACATTCCAAAGTCTGCACCAAACTCAGCCATAGCCTCAGTCTTTCTCTCAACAATGAAAAATTGCTACCCAAATACCACAGCGATTTATACAGATGGATCTCGCATCATGAACAACGTACCCTCGGTCACTAGCGCTGTATGGATACCGGAATACCATCTCAAGCAGGGATGGCGGTTACCAAACCAACTATCTGTTTTCACAGCTGAATTATATGCCTTATATCAAGCTCTCCAAATAATCACAACATTACCAATCGGGACATATACAATCTGCAGTGACTCCAAGAATGCGATTCAAGCAATTACGTACTCTTCAACAACGTGCAAGGAGTTTGTTTACCCATGTCTTCAACTTCTTCATGAACATCGATTGAACGGTTATGATACCTCTATCCAATGGGTCCCAGCGCATTGTGGTATTCTCCATAATGAACTAGTAGATCAACTAGCCAAAGCAATGCACAACACGCCTCACATTACCCGTCATTCAATTCCCCATGTTGCACGTAAAGGAGTCTTCAAAAATACCATCACCCAAGATTTTGCGACGAAATGGAAAACGTCATGCTCACCTTTGTACTATGGGTCCATTTAAAAGCAATGGGAAACTTGGAAACATGTCAGATATAAAAGCAGAGAAACTGATATAGCGATGACCAGATTAAGGCTGGGACACACCAAACTAGCAGCACAAAGCAGTACAGAACAGATATCAACGAACTCTGCATCCACTGTCAGGTGCCTGAAACAATCTAACACTATCTCCTTCACTGCTTCCGACATTATAGTGCCAGAGTAAATTTCAAACAAGTACTTATCTCACTTAAAATACCCTTTACCATCGAGCATATATTAGGAGGCAGTGACCACTCGTTACAAGAAAAATACCAAATAGTTAAAGCACTGGCTAAATATCTCCAATCGACCAACAAATTGGGTCACATCTGACCCGCGTCACATTTATACCTGGCGCCACCAACAGCTAAACACAGAAAACTGCCTCGTCGCAACACCAAGGATCAGCTGACGCCATAAACACAACACACCGCCCTACGGTGCGGCAAGTCTCCCTCTAACACACACCTCTGTTCTAGTCGCCGCTCCTCTGTCTACAGCACAACGCAACAAGCACTTTTGAAACTCTTGTCATCTTCAACACAAACGCCTCTACCAACATCTGTACTGGTGCAGTCATCGGGAGGACAAACTCTTCATGCAAACTGCACCAACTATCAAGAAGAAGAAGAGTCCATTTCATGTGGTTTCCATCTCATGTTGGCCTCCGAATGCATGATAGAGCTGATACGTTAGCCAAAGAATCTGCCTTTAAAGGAGACGTTGAGTGTAACCTTGGATTGCCAATGAGCAGTCTGAGAGCAGCAGTATACCGAGAACTTCAACAAAATCTTGTACATCTGAGGCAAAGTGAAATCGACACCTGTAATTCCATCTATCATCATACTATGAACGAACGTCCATCATACCGGTTCACCAAGTCCCGATACACCGCTGCAGAGTGAAACTTCACAAGTGCAGGATGGGTGGTCAACAGTTGGAGGCAGTACACATCAGCTATCTGAATACGCAGCATGTCCATCAGAACTACCTCAAGAGACACTCGTCCAGACAACTCCAGACCCACGGTCTCAGAGCGGTGAACAAGGGGGAGGGAGTCCCCATGGCGCCGACACAGCAAACAGCGACCTCCAGCACTCAGCGCTAAGCAACGACTGATCGTTGGTCGTCGACCACCCCCTCCAGTGGCGGGGTAGGGAATCCTGCCACAAGTTTAGTGGTTAAAAAACTGCGATAACACTGGTAATTTTGGTGATGTATTCTACTCGCCGAATTATTTTATAGTACTGATTTTAGTTCCTTGTTTCATCTGTATCGAGGTCTGGAACATTAATGGTGTCAGATATTGATATAGTTTTAATGAGACTACTGCGTGCAGTAAAGTTGACATTAATGAGGTTAGCCTACTAGCTAATTTTAGCCGTCTGCTTCGACTGGTTATTTATTTGTTTGAGTGATTATTAATTGCACTAGTTCATAAAATTTCTTAAGAATAGTCTAGTTCTTTAGACTATCCCAGTTCAAAGCACCATACGAACCATTTATTTGGGAATACGAACCGGTTTTTAGGATTAATCTAATTTCAAATGACCATAAATTTATGTGGGAAATCTAACGGTGATTAATTTATTTAACTTTTCGAATAATTTAAAGCAGACTGTATTTAAATTTATTTCATTACTAATATATCATTTCGAAGTAGACTGCATGTATGATTTAATATCACCAGTAAATTTCTCCACATAAACCTGGGGTTTTATATGTTCAGTTAACCACACGCCATAAACCGTTGATAACATTTAAGTAATTTCACTGAAACTAAATTGTTAGTATTTAATAAATTGGTCAGTGATTATAAAACTGTTGTTAACCTTAGCTGACTAGATGACTTAGGAGACCATAGCTGCCAGGTGTGTACGTGGCCCACATCTGCTGCCAGGTGTGTACATGTGGCCCATGTCTGCTGCCAGGTGTGTACATGTAGTCCACATCTGCTGACAGGTGTGTATACGTGGCCCGCCTCTGCTGCCAGGTGTGTATACGTGGCCCGCCTCTGCTGCCAGATGTGTATACGTGGCCTGCTGCCAGATGTGTATACGTGGCCCGCCTCTGCTGCCAGGTGTGTATACGTGGCCCGCCTCTGCTGCCAGGTGTGTATACGTGGCCCGCCTCTGCTGCCAGGTGTGTATACGTGGCCCGCCTCTGCTGCCAGATGTGTATACGTGGCCCGCCTCTGCAGCCAGGTGTGTATACGTGGCCCGCCTGTGCAGCAATAATGGCACCACCGTGACGTGGTCTCAACACAATTCCCCACCTCCAGTGTAGCCCCAACACCAGCCTGCCCAAGTGTTGAGGTGTAACCAAGCACTACACTGACTCTCTCATTACTGTATTATTATACAGTGTTTAAGTGAATGTGTTAGTCACCGGCAGGGCCGGGAGCACGCCTCGCCACCACCTACCACCCTAAGCTAACATTTAGGGCCATAATATAGTTAGTGGGAAACAGTGAGCACTTCCCGGTGGTTGAAGACGTCATTTCTTAATTGTTGGATAATACTTGTAGCGGCACGACGCTGTGACATACGCCTTCAGATGCTCAGCTACTTGGCTTGATCCTTGACTTATCTCTCACCAGGTGCAGTGGCTCCTCCCTCCCTCCCTCCCTCCCTCCCGACGCCTACACAATGGCTCCTCCCTCCCTCCCTCCCGCTCTGGACACCTCCACAAACGGTTCATTATTGATTTCTAGAGGAGTAGTTTCATGTAGTATATTTGGTTACAGATTAGTCTGTTTGCTACAGGGAAGAGTTTTTTTCATTAAATACCGCCATTTGACTGTAGATTTTATATTAATAATTTATTAATTTAATATAATTTTGGAACGAGATGTAACTGATGCGCAAATTTAATAGAAACTGGTTTTCTAGATAAAATTGCCAATATACAAGTGTTCTATCGCGTAGCGTTTCGGGCAATGTATAAACGTTTTTTCATCCAACTGTTGCGTTAATCAGTTAAGGATTTGCGCCCAGTAAATTACGAACCCATGACATATCGCGGAACGCCAGGCGAGTGTCTTACCACTAGGAGACTGCCCGGAGATTATTAAAGGTTAATAAGTATTGTCGGAAATTTCCGACTCTTGCTACGGAGCTTCTGATTGGTTGTTTACAGGATACAGTAAGTACTCAGACGTCAACAAATAAGAACAGTTGGTGGCAGAGACAAGCATCAATACAGGGTACATAACATATGGCAAGATGAGGTGAATGTTGTAGCCACTATTGCCATCAGGGATAACTCCGCCATATTCCATCCCATGGCGAGGCTGGCTTAAAGCCTTGGGCTGGTCAGCCTAAAGCTTTAAGCACCGTAAGCAGCAACACTGCAAATTAATCAACATTAAGGGTACTATACGCACCTCCAGCTGCGTAGATGGCAACGAGGAAGAAGAGACCCACGTTGGAGAAGAGGACCCTGGCGACGTGCTTGCCCATGTTCTTCTTGTCCCCGGGCCCGCTGAACATGGCCGCCATCTTCTTCATCCCTACCAACACACACCGACACTTAATACATTACCACAGTAATTGACAAAATTAAGTCAGAGCAAAATAAGTTATCTATATTTTAACCATGAAATGATCAGAGAATTTCATTAAATTTGAATGGTGAGCGAAGGCATGCTGTTAACAAGGCATATGAACAGCATGCCTTGAAAATCGTGAATACAAAGCCAAGATGGTGGCATGAGAGGTGCTGGTCGTCCCGTGCAGGGTCGGGTCGGTAGTCGCTGCCAGTCGTCGTCGCTGCCAGTCCGTCACCACTCCGCCGAATTACTTGTGTTGCAAAATAATCGGTGGTCAAAGCGTCGACCTCTCAATTACGTCGTGTTTTCCCCTGAATTTACGTGAGGGCCGCTGTCTCTCTAGTGGCCTCGACGAGGACAAGAAGCCGGCGGTTTGTCAAAGGTCCTCTATTTGTCCTGTTGATCTTATCAAGCTAGATTATAAAATTCAACAGATTTGCCATTTCCGGCTTGGGAGGGTAGGCGGTTCCATAGGTTAACCCTGGGGGTGATAAGGCATCTGCTGTTCTCAGTCCACCATTGTGGCTTGTAGAGCTTGAACCCGTTGTTCCTTGTTTGTGTTATATCTGACCTTTAGAAGATGTTGTCCGGATCAACATTGTCCAAGTTGTTCAATATGAACATAAACAAATATTCGAACAAGTTACTTACAAACAGCTCTATTCCTATCTTGTGAAATTCCACATGTTAAATCCCTGCCAGTTTGGTGTCCGCTCTCATGAGTACCAGTGATGTTATTGACACACACATCACATTGTGGGATATATACCAGTAGTAATATCCACCAGGGCAGTGAGGTGTTGCGAACCAGCGACCAAGTCTTTGCCAGCCACATAGTCTACCACAGTGCCAGCCACATACACTACTACAGTGCCAGCCACATAGTCTACCACAGTACCAGCCACATACACTACCACAGTGCCAGCCACATAGTCTACCACAGTACCAGCCACATAGTCTACCACAGTACCAGCCACATACACTACCACAGTGCCAGCCACATACTCTACCACAGTACCAGCCACATACTCTACCACAGTACCAGCCACATACTCTACCACAGTACCAGCCACATACACTACCACAGTACCAGCCACATAGTCTACCACACCGCCAGCCACATACACTACCACAGTACCAGCCACATACACTACCACAGTACCAGCCACATAGACTACCACAGTGCCAGCCACATAGACTACCACAGTGCCAGCCACATACACTACCACAGTGCCAGCCACATGCACTACCACAGTGCCAGCCACATAGTCTACCATAGTGCCAGCCACATACACTACCATAGCGCCAGCCACATAGACTACCACAGTGCCAGCCACATACTCTACCACAGTTCCAGCCACATACACTACCACAGTACCAGCCACATACACTACCACAGTGCCAGCCACATACACTACCACAGTGTCAGCCACATACACTACCACAGTACCAGCCACATAGACTACCACAGTGCCAGCCACATACTCTACCACAGTGCCAGCCACATACTACCACAGTACCACAGTGTGCCAGCCACATACTACTACCACAGTGCCAGCCACATAGTCTACCACAGTGCCAGCCACATAGTCTACCACAGTGCCAGCCACATAGTCTACCACAGTGCCAGCCACATACTCTACCACAGTGCCAGCCACATAGTCTACCACAGTACCAGCCACATAGTCTACTACCACAGTGCCAGCCACATACACTACCACAGTGCCAGCCACATACCACTACCACAGTACCAGCCACATAGACTACCACAGTGCCAGCCACATAGCCACATCTACCACAGTGCCAGCCACATAGTCTACCACAGTGCCAGCCACATACTCTACCACAGTGCCAGCCACATAGTCTACCACAGTACCAGCCACATAGTCTACCATACCAGCCACATAGTCAGTACCAGCCACATACACTACCACAGTGCCAGCCACATAGTCTACCACAGTGCCAGCCACATAGTCTACCACAGTACCATCCACCAGCTACCACAGTGCCAGCCACATACCTACCACAGTACCAGCCACCATACACTACCACAGTGCCAGCCACATACACTACCACAGTACCAGCCACATACACACAGTGCCAGCCACATACCTACCACAGTACCAGCCACATACACTACCACAGTGCCAGCCACATAGTCTACCACAGTGCCAGCCACATACACTACCACAGTACCAGCCACATAGTCTACCACAGTGCCAGCCACATAGTCTACCACAGTGCCAGCCACATACACTACCACAGTACCAGCCACATAGTCTACCACAGTACCAGCCACATACCACTACCACAGTACCAGCCACATACCACTACCACAGTGCCAGCCACATAGTCTACCACAGTACCAGCCACATACACTACCACAGTACCAGCCACATAGACTACCACAGTGCCAGCCACATAGTCTACCACAGTGCCAGCCACATACACTACCACAGTACCAGCCACATACTCTACCACAGTGCCAGCCACATACACTACCACAGTACCAGCCACATACACTACCACAGTACCAGCCACATACACTACCACAGTACCAGCCACATACTCTACCACAGTGCCAGCCACGTAGTCTACCACAGTGCCAGCCACATACACTACCACAGTACCAGCCACATACTCTACCACAGTACCAGCCACATAGTCTACCACAGTACCAGCCACATACACTACCACAGTACCAGCCACATACACTACCACAGTGCCAGCCACATACTCTACCACAGTACCAGCCACATACTCTACCACAGTACCAGCCACATACTCTACCACAGTGCCAGCCACATACACTACCACAGTACCAGCCACATAGTCTACCACAGTACCAGCCACATAGTCTACCACAGTACCAGCCACATACACTACCACAGTGCCAGCCACATAGTCTACCACAGCGCCAGCCACATAGTCTACCACAGTACTAGCCACATAGTCTACCACAGTGCCAGCCACACACTCTACCACAGCCCCAGCCACATACTCTACCACAGCCCCAGCCACATACTCTACCACAGTACCAGCCACATAACCTACCACAGTACCAGCCACATAGTCTACCACACCGCCAGCTATATACTCTACCACAGCGCCAGCCACATACCCTACCACAGTACCAGCCACATAGTCTACCACAGTGCCAGCCACATACCCTACCACAGTACCAGTCACATACTCTAACACAGTGCCAGCCACATACACTACCACAGTACCAGCCACATACACTGCCACAGTGCCAGCCACATAGCCTACCACAGTACCAGTCACATAGTCTACCACAGTGCCAGCCACATAGTCTACCACAGTACCAGCCACATAGTCTACTACAGTGCCAGCCACATAGTCTACCACAGTGCCAGCCACATAGTCTACCACAGTGCCAGCCACATAGTCTACCACAGTGCCAGCCACATAGTCTACCACAGTGCCAGCCACACAGGCTACCACAGTACCAGCCACATACACATAGTCTACCACAGTGCCAGCCACATACACTACCACAGTGCCAGCCACATACTCTACCACAGTACCAGCCACATACACTACCACAGTACCAGCCACATACTCTACCACAGTACCAGCCACATACTCTACCACAGTGCCAGCCACATAGTCTACCACAGTACCAGCCACATAGTCTACCACAGTGCCAGCCACATACCTACACAGTACCAGCTACCACAGTACCAGCCACATAGTCTACATAGCCACATAGTCCCTACCACAGTCCCTGCCACATAGTCTACCACAGTACTAGCCACATAGTCTACCACAGTGCCAGCCACATAGTCTACCACAGTTCCAGCCACATAGTCAACCACAGTGCCAGCCACATAGTCTACCACAGTACCAGCCACATAGTCAACCACAGTGCCAGCCACATAGTCTACCACAGTACCAGCCACATAGTCTACCACAGTGCCAGCCACATAGTCTACCACAGTACCAGCCACATAGTCTACCACAGTGCCAGCCACATAGTCTACCACAGTACCAGCCACATAGTCTACCACAGTGCCAGCCACATAGTCTACCACAGTGCCAGCCACATAGTCTACCACAGTGCCAGCCACATAGTCTACCACAGTACCAGCCACATACACACATAGTCTACCACAGTGCCAGCCACATAGTACCACAGTACCAGCCACACCACAGTACTCTACCACAGTACCAGCCACATAGTCTACCACAGTGCCAGCCACATAGTCTACCACAGTGCCAGCCACATAGTGTACCACAGTGCCAGTCACATAGTCTACCACAGTGCCAGCCACATAGCCTACCACAGTACCAGCCACCACAGTGCCAGCCACATAGTCTACCACAGTGCCAGCCACATAGTCTACCACAGTGCCAGCCACATAGTCTACCACAGTGCCAGCCACATAGTCTACCACAGTGCCAGCCACATAGTCTACCACAGTACCAGCCACATAGCCTAATACAGTACCAGCCACATACACTACCACAGTGCCAGCCACATACTCTACCACAGTACCAGCCACATATCCTAATACAGTACCAGCCACATACTCTACCACAGTACCAGCCACATAGTCTACCACAGTGCCAGCCACATAGCCACATAGTACCACAGTACCAGCCACATAGTACCACAGTGCCAGCCACATAGTCTACCACAGTGCCAGCCACATAGTCTACCACAGTGCCAGCCACATAGTCTACCACAGTACCACATACAGTCTACCACAGTGCCAGCCACATAGTCTACCACAGTACCAGCCACATAGTCTACCACAGTACCAGCCACATACTCTACCACAGTACCAGCCACATACTCTAAAACAGTGCCAGCCACATAGTCTACCACAGTACCAGCCACATAGTCTACCACAGTGCCAGCCACATACTCTACCACAGTACCAGCCACATAGCCTAATACAGTACCAGCCACATACTCTACCACAGTACCAGCCACA